CAATATCTATTTCACGAGTTTAGCGATTTAGTGATTTTACCCTTACGCTTACCCTTACCCTTACCCTTACCCTTACCCTTACCCTTACCCTTACCCTTACCCTTACCAAAAAAACATCAAAAAGAAAGATCAAAAATAAATGATGTTTCTCCTTACCATTAAAGTGTGTTAGCTAATTACCTGGTATGGCACGTGATTAAGAAGGAGGTAGCCTATTCAAGCTTCAGTCATAAAGCACCCAATTCCACAGTGAATCGCAGCGTAGAGGATGATTGCGTCTATGAAACTGAAGAGCCTTTTATTGATCTAATGGAAGCTGCATACGTCACAACTTATGGCAAAAAGATAACTAAGATCAAAAATATGGTAAGCAGGCTTTTGGGAGGGACTGGGAACCAGTGTTACATAATATTAATTACTATTGTATAGAACGGTCTGAACCCAGGTGAATGAATGTTAATCGAAGCATTATGATCATCCGGGTGGATGTAATCCTTAGAAGGACTGTTTGATGTGACTGACTCTGAAGATGACTTCCGATCAGGTTGTCGAAACGTCAGTCACATTAAACAGTCCTTCTCAGTCAGGATTACATCCACCCAGATGATCATAATACTTCGATAAACAATGAAGAAATAGAAAACGCGCGCGCGCGCCTTGTGCTGTCATAAAGCACGCGGGGGTTGGCAGAACACAAGAGAAGTGTTAGGAGAAGCACGACGCGTAGCGGAGTGCTTCTGGACACTTCTCGAGTGTTCTGCCAATCCCCAAGTGCTTTATGACTGCACACAGCACAGCAAGTAAGTTTTTTATTTCTTTTATAAAATACAAATTACAATAATAGATAGGAATGACGCAACGGAAAGTGCGCGCGCGAGCAATGTGCTCTCATAATGCACACACTCCAAACCAATCAGAACGCGACATTCATAACAGTTATCTTATAATATTCATTACGGAGATGATATGCGATGTGGTTGTATATGCTTTCTTCAAGAGCTCCCCCAATCCAGCATTGTGGATCAGCTGTTCTAGAATTTTTCATTAATGCGCGCTTTCACTCGCTTGGTTTCGGCCGGCTATGTTTTTTTTTCCTCCGGGGATGGGTGTTTTTCAGTATTTTTTTGTTTGTTGTTTTTTTTTTCTCGTCCATATATGCGTTTGGTCTGTCATTCTAATTTTTTTTGTTTATGTTCCGGATCTTATCTGTGTAGGTGGAACAACTGACAAATGAAATACGCCAAGCCTTTAAAGAAAACGTAAATTCACTTACCTGGCTTGATACCAACACTAGAAGGACAATAAATGAAAAGGTACTTGGCTTATAAATGAGCATAACACATTACATTTGTGTATAATCTCAATACCTACAATATGCTTTTGAATATAGAGCGTTTTCACGTGACGTCACAGCGGCCATTATGGGGTACCAAAACAATACATTTTCTATCCTCCTGGAATTGAACTCTATTTTTATACAAATACTGTGCAGAAAGTTTCTATTGTTTATGGCTGCCTTCTCATGAGTGAAAACGCTCTATACAATGACATCTGGAGTACATTGGACAACGGTATACTTCTAAGATATTGCAATTTTGAGTCGCCAATACAAGTTTATATTGGCGGCTAGTGGGAGAGATCATACCCCGCTAGTCTCGAAGCTAGTCTTTTCTTCCAAAACGCCTTCAATATTAATCCGTATTGTCGACTGAAAAATCGCACAAAGTTTTGAATCGAGCAATATTCCTATCCCGAGGTAATACGGGTGTATTTTGCGGGCTCTCTCCCGATCACACTTAAAGAAGAATTGCGAAACTCAAGTGGCTTATTATTTTCATATCCTGACGTCATCCGTACGCGCGTATGGGATAACCGTTTGCTAAACAATTCGAAAGGGAAAGAGGAAACGTTGTCTCCCTATATATATACCCCCGAGTGATGCAGATATAGCAGGTAATCGTCCTTAAGAAGTACGAATAAACAATACCCTTTTTTCAGAAACGATATATTTATTCCCACTTTCAGTAAAATGTATTTATGTACAGTGAAGATGGAAGATGATCTTCCGAAACAAGTCTGAAAAACCTTGTTTTATAAAGAATGGTTATGTCTCTTAAATTCATCATAAAGAAATTTTAGATTTAATGTTACAGCGCAACGCACAAAAGTATGACCACATTTCATGTATTCGCATACTTCTATGAACAGGAAAATACTGAGCCTTGTGAAAAATAACAAGGGAGACACAAATATTTTGAGTAAAGTTAGCATAGTTGTATCAAATTTGATATCAAAAATAAGCTGATGATAGCTAGCAGTGCACTGTACAACATATTACAGGTTGACAACATAAGAAACAAAATTGGCTTTCCTGACTATCTTTCAAGCCCTGGCAAAGTCAAACAGAACTTTCAGAAGTACAACACTGTAAGTACCTAAACTTGTCATGCTCATTTTCTTACTTCATGATCACACAGAAAATATCTCTTTGTCACAAACTTGACACTGGATTCTGAAGAACAGATTTAATCTTGCCTTTAAGTATTGTTCTCATACTGATTAATTGAGAAACTAGAAACCTACAATATAATGAAACTTTCTAAAATATTATCAGAGCAAGACAAAGGATAGTTTACATGCACTATTTCACCAAAAGACATGTTTAAGCCTTGGTGTGAATGGGCTACTAGATTCTTCACACTTTTAGCTATAAATAGCACAACTTTACTTCTCCTTCTCCTTACAGCTCATCCTCAAAAAAGATGAATATTTTAAAAACAAAATAGCCTTATCTAAGTTCGATCACCAACAAATGTTGATGAGATTTAGGCAACCTGTTATTGTCGATCGGTAAGTACATAAAATGTTAATGATAGATTATACGTATCGTTTGTTTTGAGTTCTGGATGGATGATGAAATCCAAAATTTGATTTTCAATGAAAGACATCCAAGTTAAATTTCACTAAACCTGATATTGTATTGAATTATCTGTAGTTATCTTTCGTTTTTCAAGTAAAATTAACCAGGAATTCAAAGCGTAAAGACGTCGCCAATGGAAGACTTTTTCGAAGATTTTTTCAAGAACAAAACTAGCCCCTGGGGTTGCTGATGTTGGGTGTGTATATGTGACAAAATTCCTAAGTGGGAGAGTACTAAGTTTCAAGAAAACGATGTAGTGCATTTCGGTTTGATTTTTTCACTGTATGGTTTTCATTATTGGGGACATTATCTTCGTCTCGAATAAAAAAAGTAATTGAAGATTTCTTTCCCGAATTTATTTTCACCTTTCAGTTTTATCTAAATTGGGCTCCCTGTGCTTATTGGGAGCTCCTCTGTTAGGCAGTTTCTAGATTTATATATTTGCCTTTTGTTGCATTCCCATGTCTTTTTTGGATGGATGCATGCACACATGCGTGGATGGATGGATAGGTGGATGGATAATAGAATGAATAAATGACATATATTGCACCATACCAAAACTTTGTATTTTAATGAAATAGCGCAACAAAATTCGTTAAATTTACAGAGTCATACATTCTTTTTAATAATTTCTCAGCGGGTGGCCAGTGTTTGCTCACGAGGGTAAAGATGGGGTTGAATATCTTGATGATTCTAACTGGATCGGTAAGTACTCTTAAGTATGTTACAAAGTCACAACGTTGCAATACACAGCAGGTAATAAGTGACAGGTTATCTACACGGAGCCACAAACCTAGTCTGTCCACGCTTTAAAGTGCACCTAACCCCCGATACAATACTTTCAGCATTGGTTCTACATAAAGTGAATAGTTGAAATATGGTGAAATATTTCTTCAGGTTTATACTTCCAGTATGTTACTGACTGTGACATCACCCCAGGCTTCATTAAATATACAAATTTTGACTGCTTCACACAAACAATATTTAAAAAAGCATTATCATCATTGTAAATTTGATGTCTCATAATTGCTAGTGTTAAGTATTAAAAATTAAAACAGATGCACTCAAAAACCCGGGGTGACGTCACAGTCAGTAACATAGTGGAAGTATAAACCTTCATAACTTAAAGACGCAACAATCAAATGAAGAAATATTTCACCATTCAACTATTCCCTCTATGTAGAATCAATACTAAGGGTATTGCCGCATGGGTAAGTTGCACTTTAAACGAGTAACGGAAGGAAGACCATTTCTCACCGTGTCTACAAAGCGATTTTGGAACTCTCTTTCCAATAATATCAATAAGTTTAATCGTTAACCTTAAGAAATCATTATTTGAATGCTTTGTTGATAGTTACTAAAACATTGACAGCTCAGCTTTCATGCTCTCTCACAATTCGACATGGGGTTCCTCAAGGCTCACCTTTAGGCCCTCTACTTTTCAATCTGTACATTAACGATCTGCCTACTTTGTGCAAAACCTGCAATGTCGGCAGATAGAAAAAAGAGCTTTTGGTACAAGATTAAATGTTAGAGGAGAAGAAAGAGAAGTGAAAAAAAAAGCTCGAAATATAAGATTCTGGGGCCAAAACAGTACTAATATACCTGTGCCATCAAAATAACGCTACTATAAAAATGCCAAAATGGCTCCTTAGGGTCAAATTGGTCCTATCAAATTTACTGTGTATAACACCAAACATCCTATTAACTGACAGCTCTGATAATTATCTAATAACAAAATAGTGTTAAATAATTATGCCTTCTGACATTCCTCTTCAAAATAGTCTCGTTATGACTCTCGTTATGTACGAGAAAAACGTTGTGTAAAAAAAGCACCATGGATTAACAGCAGATAATCACGTTTACTTGACTTATTTGATATTTTGTCTTTTCCATGAACTGAAAATTTTTTCTGTTATTTTGTCCCTAATCAGCTATGTATTTTTTTACCTCTGTTGTAGTTCAGCCGTTAGCCAGCCTGCGACCACCTTTCTTTTATGAAAGTGAATTCCTAAGGTACGAACTGAGGTAGTGAATATCCTGTGAAAGCAATGCTTAGCTGGCTCGTTTCCTAAAGAAGATTGCTCGATACCCAAAGCTTTTCGCAAGCGATCTTGCTTTGAAAGCAATCAAATACAGAAACTTATTTTGGGACTTTTTACGCTCGTGACCTTATCTTTTGCAGGGCTTTTAATTTTGGCGCGATTGGTGCAAGTATAGGGAAAGCAATCACGATGTCCGTTGGTCACAGAGGTAAAAGTTTTTCCCAAAATACCCAAAACCCAAGGGTTGTCCATTAAGGTCCGCCCAGTGTATATATTGATTTGCATTTTACAAGTAAACCAAATATGAATTCATAGCAATCATTTGTAATACTATGTTTTTCAGGAAGGCAATATGACAAGAATGGACTACCTTTATCGACTGCTGGTCAGGGGTGGTCAAGGAAGTCACTACAGGAAATTGATAACAGGGGAAGCTGTTTTGCCACGCAGTACTCCCAGTACAAATTGTTTGGAAGTTGGCGGGTATGTCAGAGGCGTATTCAGGGGGACCTGAATACGGTTGATAAGGTTCGATTGAGGACGCTTTTAAGCTTAAAAAGCGACGAGAAAAGAGCGGGGAAAACACGACTTTGTTTCAATCCTCCGCAATTTTGTAGAACTACACTACACGAGGCATACTCTAAGATCGCAATGCATCTTGGGAGCTATGWTACAATTGAACTATGTATGCACTATGTAAGCATAAATTACATATACATTGCAAGATGACTGGGTGGCCTCGTTTTGGTGCGCTTGTCAGCCATTATGAGAAGGGTGTATTCCCAGTATAATTTGTTTGGAAGATGGCAATATATCAGGGTCGTTACCARGGGATTGTCTGATTTTGTAACTGATTTCTATATATGAACACGGGCCCATTTTCTTTCTTTTTTTTTAGGTCGACGGCAATCTTAATTACTTCCAAAAAACCATTGACACCGTTGGTTTCAAAGCGGTCAACAAGTTAAAATCAGTATACAAATAACTATATAATAATAAAGATATACTTTGGGTGACGATAAACACATGTATTTTGATTTTGAGCGTGGGCTCAAATCCAATGCCATTTCTCCCAAACTTTGCATAGCCTTTTATTGAACCATGGACATTTCAAATATGCAATATAAAATGGAGGTCACCATTCTCGTTTTCGTGTGCTACGTGACCTCAAAATGTGACAAAATACGGCCTCGATGACAGATATGGCTGTAAACGGAAGTCAATAAAAATAGCACCATTCCTTGCAAAATTACAAATTTTAAGCAATCTAAGGTAATATTGTAGAAAATTTTTTAAAAATAATTAATAATAATAATAGACCCTTTCAGCTTCCTACGTCACCGATCGGTCACGTGGTCTGAAATGGGTAAACACACGCACGCTTCAAGCACGCTTCAGCCAAATACTATCGAAGTGGGAAATTAAAAGCTCGAAAATGGTTCACTATTGTTGCGTGTTCAATTGTTATAATAGTTCAAACGATACGACGCTTTCATTTCATGGATTCCCAAAAGACAAAAGTCTTCAAAAGGTGAGTTAAAATTCTTTTAGTTTTGTCAAACAATCAGGTGTTGACAGACTACAATGTCGTCTCTTGAAGGGTGCGCTTCACGAAATCTTTCATTAAGACTTAAATACCGGACTTTAATATAAGCTTAACACTTCAGCAAACGCCTTTTCCTATGTCTATAATGTAGAAGTGGACGTCAAGAATAAAGAGAGATCCAAGTAAAGACTTCAGGATAACACCCAGCACAAAAGTTTGCTCTTCACATTTTTTAGATACGGACTACAAGTTCTTAGACAGCAAATCTAGACGACTGAAGGAAGAAGCATGTCCCTCGATTTTTTCGTGGTCCAAAACGTAGGTTACGATACTAATCTACCTTTGAAATTAAGGAGAAACTACTGAAGACATAATATATAATAAGTCTCCAGTCATAATGTATGACAGGGGTGGGAACTGATTTTTTTACACAAGGAAAATTTAAGATCCCCCTTGTGATAAGAAAAAAATTCTTGAACGCYCCTTCCCTAGAATAGGCCAATAAAAATTTAGACATGAACTCAAAATCTGCAGTCTTCAAAAAAGAGAGACCCCCTAAACTCATTAAAAAAATTGTGATCCCCACCCAAATGTCATCTGCCCC